TATTATATATATATTATATATAATATACATATATATTATATATTATATATATATATAGTATATATATATATATATATATATAAATATATATATATTATATATATATATGTATATATATATGTATATATATATGTATATATGTATATTATATATATATTATATATATAATATATATATATATATATATATTATATATATATATATATATATATAATATATATATATTATATATATATTATATATATATATATATATATTATATATAAATATTTATATATATATATATATATATATATTTATATATATATATTAATATATATATATATATATATATATATATGTATATATATATATATATATATATATATATATATTATGTAATATTATATATATATTATATATATATTATATATATTTTATATATATAATAATATATATATATTATATATATATTTTTATATATATATTATATATATATATATAATTATATATATATTTATATTATATATATATCATATTTTATATTATATATATATATTATATTTATATGTATTAATACATATATTATATATATATATATTTTATATATATATATATATAATATAATATATATGTATATATATATATATATATATATATATATATAATATATATATATATATAATATATAATATATACACATTTATATATGTTTTCTAGTATTTAATATTGCTGTTTGTAATGTAAGTAACAATTTAGTAACTATAATGTTTATAAGAAAAATAAGTGTCAATAATGATAGCATTAGTAACTAAAACATTTTTCTGCTATTTCAAGGAAAGGTGAGAACATAATATTTACCAATTAACTCTATTGTGGCTGAGCTCTGGCAGAGCCATCTATGTACAGAAACATTTAAAAAAACAATACTAGAGTTAATGCAACATTTTCCCATTGGCATTGGGTTAACTGGAAATTGTATGCTTTCATCATTATAGCCATTTTATGAATGATATTAACTGCATTTTCACATTTTAATCAGAGCCATTCATTCTTGTGCTCTGTCCATTACATGTTTTATGGATGCAGTATGTATCCCTGCACTGCTCTGGATCTATCTAAATCTTGTATTTATGGACACAACTATTATTAATGTGATTTTAATAAGGTCAAGTGTATTTGTTTGCATGTACCTTAAAGTAACCTCTATTGATCAATATTGTCTTTTCACAGGGTTACTTTGGTGCTGTTGGCTGTATGCTGGAATTGATGCGTACAGGAGAAGTTGGAGCTTCTTCATAGATTTAAACTTAGAGATATAATGCTATTTATTGAATATTAGGTCCAAATGTTATTAAGTAGAAGTAGGGAATTTATATATGAATATATATACACATTTTCTTTATAAGAATATATTGTAAAATATAGCTTGATATTATGTTTAAAAGGACTAAAATATAATGTATATTTTCCATGTTAGTGGAAACTGCTTTTTGTAGAATTCAAATACATTTCTTTTCAAGTTGTGAAAACAGCACAAGAGATTGTAGGATATTTTACTATTTTATGTAGCTTATTTTTATATGGATTTCATAGGTTTACAAGTTTACCCCTCTGGTATAGCAATGGTATTCCTTTTTTCACTTTTTTTTTTTTTTTTTTTTTTTTTTTTTTTTTTTTTTTTTTTTTTTTTTTGACAGACAATCTTGCTTTATGATGAATGACTGTTTGGTTTGAATGACAGCAAGATAAGGTTCATAGACTCAGATAGACATACAACTCTTTTAGAGAGAACATGTGCCTTCTGGCAGTAGGGGATTAAAGGTAACCCCCTCTGGCCAGTTTCTGCCAGTATACCAACTGTTTCTTGATCCCAGGCTAATCATTCAGGTATAGGAGTCAAGATATTTACTTGCATAACCTTTACTTTTATGCATGACTGTGATGATGATGAATTGACCTAATCTATAACTACAATGAATCAGTGTCTTGCGGCCATGACAGAAGACAAGGGAGAAGTCTTGGAAACGAATAAGAAATAATTCATGATAAAAGAGCAAAGAAATTATATAGAAATTATTAGATGATATAATTCACTGAAAAGACAGGACAAAGATCATGAGAAATGACATAGTGATCTAAAACTGTGTATGAACTATTAGAATAGTGCAGGTCATACTTTGACTGCACTTCTTTCATGGCACATATTAATATTTGAAAATGCTTGGAAAGCATTAAAATCCTTTCATTCTATACATCTTTAAAGTAGTGATTTGATCAGGTTTCTTTTTGTGCATAATTCAAGAGAAATCCAAGTAAATATAATTGCTGTAAAAACACTGACAGCCCAAAGTAGATATAAGCTGTCATAAAATCTTATATACCATGCAAGTCTTTTCATAGATGGTAATATAGTGATACATTTTATTTCTCACATCAACTACAGCATCAAAATATTTCAATTGTTATACAGAATATTGATTTTCAAGATGGCAGGCAAAAGTTGCAATTTGTTTCCATTATCTTAACATATAAAGTATATACACTCCA